TTTTTTTTTTTTTTTTTTAATACTGTTGAAATACAGACCCGAGTTCAAATCCAGATACCACCAGATGACTGTCCGTCCTCCTCCTCTTTCTGACGTCCCTCCTCCTGTCGATATCGATATTAGACCTTGACAACTCCTCCCTTCTTTTTTTTTTTCTTTTTTTTTAAGAAATACAACTCCTCCCTTCTTCTTTTTCTGGATATAACTAATCCTTCCTCGATCAACAACTCCTCCCTTCCTTTTACGGATATGAGTAATCTCACCCCCCTTGCCCCCTGTCCTCGGTCCACGTCCTCTCAATTTTCGGGCCATATACCGCTATAATGACCCCTGTTATATTCAGCAGAGTAAGGCTGCGATCCCCCCCACCTGCAATTCCTTTTCTCCTCCCCCTTCCCCCGCTCCAACTATTCACGCCATTACTCTCCGCTGTTCGTCCGCCGTACATACCTTTCCCCCTATTGATATTGTTGGGGCTCATATGTCCTATTGTACCAATCAAAGCAAAAAATAACAAAGTAGCCATTTAGGTTTTGAAAGGGCAATACCTGCCTGACCTTGCAGAGTGCACCCCATTCTTTGAGAAGAGGAGCGGGGCTGTCACAGACTCTGTCGTTGCCGCTTTATAAACTCACCCCTAGCCTCCAAGCTCAAAGCCCTTAACCCTGTGTCTTAAACACTACGGCCTGTACCCTAAACACTGGACTCTAAGTTCAAACCCAAAACCCCGACACCTAAACCCTACCTTGAGCCTTAAAGTCGACCGCATGAACCCTAAGTCCTAACCCCACCCCTAGACTCCGAGTTCACGAGGGGGGCTGTCACAGACTCTCTCGTTGCCGTTTTATAAACTCACCCCTAGCCTCCAATGTCAATTTCTTTCCAACTTTCAAAAGTTGTTACTCGAACCTTCTGGTTCTATCTGTTGTGATGAGAATGATGTGTCTGACTCTTTGTCTTTCTTGCACACATCATTCATACGGCTCGTACCGAAGTTCTTACAGGTGACTGTAGTGAATATGGTGAAGGCATAGTCTTACCCAATCAGTAATGGTGGAAGGTCGAGGTTCCAAGGGTTCGGTTGTTCGCCGATGAAAGTGGTAAACTGATCAAGCTTTCAGCAGAGGATGTGACCATTAATGGTATAGCTCCGTGTACGCTAGTGGATTTAGACATCAAGTCTTGCTTTCCGGCCCGTACCCTAAACCCTAAACCCTAGACTCTAAGTTCAAACCCTAAACCCGGATACCTAAACCCTACGCCCTACGTCCTAAACCCTACCCGGAGCCCTAACCTCGACTGCATGAACCCTAAGTCCTAACCCCACCCCTAGACTCTAAGTTCAGACCCTAAACCATATGCCCTAAGCCCTTAGTCCTAAACCTTAGAGCCCTAAGCCCTAAACCCTGATAGCCTGCCGAACCCCCTACTCATGGAACATGCTAAATTTGCCTTGCCTTGACCCCCCATTGGCATATTTCTGGCCAAAAGGGGTGGGCAGGCTGGATGGTGAACTGCAGACATTCCAAGCATGAACATACACGAGCATTATGAGTCGAAACACCCACAATGACCAGACGAGAATTAGCGTCCTCCCCATATTAACCACATGAGAACTAGCATCCTCCCCATAATGACCCGATGAGAATTGGCATCCTCAAGTAGCAGTGACCATATGAGAATTAGCATCCCCCCCTTAGTGACAAGATGAGAATTAGCTTCCATGCTGATCCAACCCCATAGTGACCACATAATAGCCCAATGAAAATTAGCATCCTCCCCATAGTGACCAGATAATAGCCCAATGAGAATTAGCATCCTCTCCATAATGACCACACGATAGCCCAACGAGAACTAGCAGCCTCCGCATAATGACCATATAATAGCCAATGAGAATTAGCATCCCCCCCTTAGTTACAAGATGGAAATTAGTATCTACCCCATAATGACCAGATAATAGCCCAATGAGAATAGCATCCTCCCCATAATGATCAGATAATAGTCCAAGGAGGATTAGCATCCTCCCCATAATGACCAGACAATAGCCCCATGAGAATTAGCATCCCCCCCTTAGTGACAAGATGAGAATTAGCATCCACCCCATAGTGCCCAGATAATACCCCAATGAGAATTAGCATCCTCCCCATGATGACCAGATCATAGCCCAATGAGAATTAGCGTCCTCCCTATAGCAACAAGACAAGTATTAGCAATTTAGCACCCTTCCCGTAACAGCCCGTTGAGCATTAGCATAATCCCCATAATGAACAGATATAGCCCGATGTGGCGACGAGAACTAGAGCCCTCCCCCCCCCATAGTGACAAGACGAGAATTAGTATCCTCCCTGGAATAGCCCCCAGAGAGTTAGCATCATCCCTGTAAAAGCCCCAAGATAATTAGCATCCTCCCCGTAGTGACACCACCTCCATATTGACCAGATGGAATTAGCATTCCTAGACGTAGTGACAAGATCCGAATTAGCGACCCCACCATAATGACCAGATAAGAATCATCACCCGACCAATAATAGTCAGGTGAGATTTAGGATTCCCAAATTAACCAGATGAGCCACATCCATCAGACAGCCTGTGGTTGGAGGCTGGCTAATGGCTGCTGGAGGTAAATAGGAATGATAGACAGGGGAGAAAGGAGTGGAAACATCCAAAGTAATTAACTTATGGGGGTAAGGGGAGGGGGGAGGAGGAGGGAAGGGGGGAAGCAATAGCAGGGATAATATGCAACTTCGATTTTTTTAAATTTTATTTTAAAAGGAATTCATAATAATATAATACATTAATAATTATATACATATATATTATACCATTATATAGAACCAGCAAAAAAAGAAAGTGGGAAATATGGAATACGTTGGAAAGGGTCCATTTTCGTCAAACACTCGGAGTTTCAAAATCTTATGAAAATTCATGAAATTAACATAAAGGTGTCCTTCTTCTCCACAGAGAGAAAAGGACTTCGAATTCAAAACCAAAATAATTAGTAAAATATGCTTTCTTTATAAAAAAAAAGGGAAAAAAACTTACCTCTGTATCAACCAGTGTAGACAATCAGCAACCAGCTCGAAGTTGGGCGTCCGGAAATTCTCCATGGACATCAAGCGGGGATAGCCCAACGACTTCATTATTTCTGAAAAATCTGCCGAAGGAAAATTTCCAAAATGGGTAATAAGTTAACAAGACTTCGCAGCTGATAAGTAAAAAATCCAAATACAAATATTATACACTCGAATAAAGGTTTTTTTTTTTTTTTTTAACGAATGCACCCAGTGGTTGTGGTACTTGTGCAATAACCTTCTTTTCGGAAATATGATGACTTTCTCAGAACCCTTTTTTTTTCTATAGCAACACCCTCTCCCTTCCACACTTGGGAGAACAGCAATCCAATTTTTTTTTTTTTTTTTTTTTTTTTTTTGTCTTCTCCTCATCAGCAATCCAACTTACTACCGCCAGCAGGAAAACAATAACACTGTTTTTTTTTTTTTTTTAAATGCATACATTCTTCGCCCCCCGGCTCCCCTCCCCTCTGCTCCCCCGTTTACACTTTTCACCCCCGTTTATGCTGAAGAGGTAAGGGAAAAAAAAAGAAAAAGACAAAAAAAAAAAGAAGAGAAAAGAAAAAAGACAACGAAAAAAGGAAAGGCAGGGATGAGACCCATTTAAAAAGAACGACTCCATCATTTCCGAACTTTTAAGTCATGTCACCAAAATTTAAAATTATATTACCGGATTCCTAAATTGCCATTTTTTTTTATCACTTGTCCATTGCAGTTGCATTTTACCGCAATTCCAATTGATTGATGAATATTTTGATTCCTACCGGTCGTGCATGGACTGGCGGCTTCCATCAAACACAAGGCACCCCTGGTCATGAAATTCAATACATACTAGGCTACCATCCGGTTCGCCCGGGTCACCCTGTTTTCCCGGGCGGCCCGGCAGGGAAGGTCTCAGCAAAAAAAAAAAAAAAAAAAAAAAAAAAAGAGTTAAAAAAACCGAAAAAAAAAAACTGCGTTATGCAGAAAAATAAACTGAACAACTTTTGCCTCAGCGTCACATCGAAATTCTCTACAAAATTTAAAATTAAAAAAAAAAAAAACATATATATATCGTCACAAACAGATATATATATATCGTCACAAACAGAACTGCCCGGTATATATATAATTTGCCAAAAAAAATTGGAGAATTTTTTACCATTTCTCGACTTATGTGTGTCATCCTTCCGCAGGGGCCATGCTAATCTTCTCTGTATCATTCCAATTTTTACGGATGTCCCGAAGGACTTATTTTTATTTTTCGAACAGCTTGCAGCCTTTTGGCATGGTCCGGGCACTCCGCCCCAGTTCAAACCATGGCCGCTTTTCCTTATAGTAGCCGGAAAACAGGTCCGGCAACCTTTACATCAAAAACGCGTATCATTTACTGTCCGGCAGTTGGACAGTAAATGGCAATTCTAAAAAGAAAACTACTAAAGGCCTATGTATTCGACCAGAACGACAGCAAACTACCCCAGCACTGAAAAGCAAGCGTGCAGAAAAACTGTACAGCACGCAGCAAAAGCATGTGCAAAATAAAGGAGGGAGGCTATCTTATTCAGAAGACAAGAACCCGTAAGAGAACTGTACAGCAGCCAGTGAAAACCTTCCTCAGAAAACAAGCTCCTATAGAAGAACTAAAACAGCAGGCTACTAACAAAAGATGAAATATATCTCGGAGTTGCAAAAACTATGCACAGTGGGCCATAAAAACTCCCATGACACAAAAAGAACACCCATTCATTCACAAAACAAAATCTACATTCAATACCTATCAAAGAAAAAACGCAGAAAATTTGAGTTCCAGCCGGTCTTGCTCGGAACGCAAAGTTGTCAACCGCCCAGAGAAACTTTCACAACAAGCCAAAAACCATTTGACCGATTGAGAAGAGTAGCCTTTTTTCCCTGGACTTTCAACACCCAGTCTGCAATAATGGTCTGTTTTATCGTGAACTTAACTTCTGCTCGAACTGTCAACGGGGTAAAATGCTCCGCATGTGTAACCACCGCGTTCAGGAGACTCCACAAAGCCCTCAATATCGCTCCTCTCAAAGTCTCTCCGCCGGGGCCTGAGGAGGGAGTTTCCCGGGCATAAAGGCCGCCGCCCCCAACAAGATAAAGCGGTCTGTCCAATGCTCCGCTTTGACAGGGGACGGGGACAGACAGGTCCTCCACCAGTTTCAAAATTCTCGAGACAAATCACAATGGAGGCAGAAGTGTTCCAGACCTAGTTTCCACCCGTATCCCCGAGCAGATTGCACAAAGTGGAGAGGCGTGGGGGGTTCTTCGAGCGCACCAAGCCGCAACGCGCAATGCGTGATGAGCAATCGACCACAAAAGTCCAGCCTGTTTCACCACTGGAAGGTCCATAAGCATCTTCCAATGTCTCGGGAGGGTTTGTGCCCCGCGGATTACAGAATCTGCCACCCAGCCCAAAGCCATCCAGCGTTTCGCCACTAACCAAGAAACATCACACTCCAGACGAACAAGTTCGTAACCCAGCTTAGCAGTATACTGATAAGGCGGCACCCGGTCTTGGCGTCGAAGGGGGTGAGTCCATTCCCAGTCCCGGGGGTCAACAGGGAGGTCATAAGCCTGGACTGCCAGAGCAAAGGGTGGAAAATGATCGGAATATTCCAACACACAAGCGGGCAGCAAATCATCTGCTGAAGGAAGGGGTAAGGACTGCGGTTTGGGACGCAGCGGTTCCCCCAATGCAAAAGAACAGGCGCGTACTTCCCAACAAGACAACTGGATTAGCCGATGTCGCAACTGATTCTACCTTCCGCTAGTACACGGCCCCAGCCTTGCTGAAAAGAAACTCATAGCCTACGAGTTTCTTCAGTGACGTGCGCATAAAAAAATCAGTTGCCTGTGTCGCCTACCGGATTCTGACCGGCGCCCGCGGCCGATAGCTGACGGGCGCCCGCGGCCGATATCTGGATGTACTGGTGCTTTGGTGATTTAAGAAAAGGGGTCGCGGCACTCCTATACCACGGTCCCACCTTGGGGTGTATACCCTGCCTCAACACAGCCACCCATTGTAGAGGGGTGGCCTTCTGATTTTATTTTTTTTTGGTCTGGCCGGGCAAGTGTGCCCGGGCCACTGTGGTGGCCTAGAATATATTTAATAATAATAAAAATTCAGTGCATACATCTTCTGGCACGTTCAGGTTCCCAAATGCACTTTGAAACCAAGCGAATGCAAACATCTTTCTTTCTTGGGATAATTTGCAAAATACCCCCATGAGTTGCGATATGTCCCAAAATGCCCCTAAAAGATGTGGGTAGAGCGGAATGCCCCTCTGAAAAAAAAAAAGATTTGTGAAATACCCCTGGCATTGGTTTGACCCCCATCTTTGGAATATACCCCTACCCGGTATTGTCTAACTTTGCAAAATGCCCCAGCACTTGCAACTTTTTCCTAGGCGCTATTGCAAAAGGCCAAGGCCCAAACGGGGAGGTTCAGATTGCAAAGTTGCACACACGCCTGACAGGGGCACAACACGAAGATTTCGGCCCAAAAGTGCATTCCGCTCTACCTACACCTTTCAGGGGGCATTTTGGCATATATCTCAACTTCTGGGGGTATTCGCAAATTTATCCCTTCTTTTTTTTTTTTTTTAAGTTTAAGCCCTTTGGGGTGTCGGAGGCATCACCCTCCTCCTCCATTACTCTCCTCCTCCTCCATTGCTCTCCTCGCCCTCCTGCACCTTTCCTCCTCCTCAATAACCATCGTCCTCCTCCTCCTCCTCCTCCTCCCTACCCTACTCCCTCCTCGATACCCTCCCCCATCAGATCCGCGTCGCGCTTGTGTGATTTGTGTGTGTGCGTGCGTGTGTGTGTGTGTGTGTGTGTACCCTCCCCATCAGATCCGCGTCGCGCTTGTGTGATTTGTGTGTGTGCGTGCGTGTGTGTGTGTGTGTGTGTGTACCCTCCCCCATCAGATCCGCGTTACTTGTGTGATTTGTGTGTGCGTGCGTGTGTGTGTGTGTGTGTAAGAGAGAGAGAGAGAGAGAGAGAGAGAGAGAGAGAGAGAGAGAGAGAGAGAGCCGTTGTCGTGCGCCGGTTCTCCCACCACCCGTCGTCCCCCGGACAGAAGGTACGGTCATTATCGCTGTATCGAGACGGAAAGTTCCGCCAAATACAAGCGTAATGACCATACGTTCTATTTGGGGGACGACGCGTCACAAAGAGGGTCGGATTAAGCACCTCTCTCTCTCTCTCTCTCTCTCTCTCTCTCTCTCTCTCTCTCTCTCTCTCTCTCTCTCTCTCTCTCTTGCTACGTTCGCACGAACGCGCGAACATGCGGACGTGTTCGCAAAGCTGGCGGACGTGTTCGCCGTGCTACACAGGCTCTGGCATAGCATCACCCCATCGATTGTGATAAAATAAAATAAAAAAACATCCCCTGTATATAGAAAAAAAAGAAAAGAAATTCTGACACCCCCCCAATGAATTAGCAATTTAATAATTTATTTACTTATTCGAATCCCTTGTTGTTGGCAGGTGGCGAATCAGAGTTTCAATTTGCAAACTGCACTTACTTCTAAGTTCTCGGAATGACATTGTCGGGATCGCCGCCGCCGATAAATCCTAAACTTGCGATCGCGATGATCGTCCGCTGCCACCTGGACTAAGAATCTAAAAAAAAAAAAAAAACAAAAAAAAAAAAAACAGGTCATGTAAATGTCAAACCTGCCACCCACCTAAAGAGAAAATCTTGCCACTTGGATGAAAAACTCACTCCCGGTTATTGCCGTGCATTGTTATTTATCCGCGTCAAATGCACAATGCAAACCGTTACAATTTTTTTATTTTTTTATTTTTCCAAACCGTTACACTTTCATAAAGATCAGAAAAGAAACAAAAATGGCAAACCGTTATGATTTTAAAAAAACAGTTATGTTATTTTCAAATTTTAATCCAATCACCGAATTCTTGTTGAGAGATTGCCCCCACCTTCCCCCCCCCCCCCCCCCCCCCCCCCCCCCCCCCCCAAACACCAAACCCGTGCATTCTACCTTTATTTGTTCGAAATTTAAATAGAATCACCACCCGCCCGTTGTATTTGGGGGTATAAGGTAGCTGTAATTTACTGTTGATCAGTATGACCTCGCCGTTATTTTTATTTATTTATTAATTTATTTATTTATGTATTTATTTATGTATTTCTTTATTTCTTTATTTATTTATGTATTTATTTATGTATTTATGTATTTATTTATTTATTTATTTCCATTAGTTATGTGTTGGTCTTCAGTGTCAACTTGTATCTGATGATAGCCCAATTTCAGATCTATTTTGGAAAAAATATTTACATCCCTGCAGCCTATCTAGTAGTCGGTCAGCTATCTTGGGTAGTGGTTCAAACTTCAACGTTCTTCACAATGATAGCGTTCAATCCTTTATAATCTATACATTTTTTGTTTTTTTTATTTTTTTTTGGGACCATTTCTCGATTTATGCGTGTCATCTTTTTTTTTTTTTTTTTGAAATAACAGAACCACCTGGTGCTAATCTTCTTTCTCTGTATTGTTCCAATTTTAACGGATGTCCCGAAGGACTTTATAATCCATACATAATCTTAACTCGTCTGCTTTTTTGGGAACGAACGGCACACATGATCTGACGCCAAATTCATTGCAGATGGCAGTCCTATACAACTCACTCGCTGTCACACACAACTCCAACAACGATTTGAGAACGCCAATTATTATTATTAAAAGCCAAAACAATTAAAGAACAAAAGAAAACTCAAAACAAACGGACAAGTCTCCACTTGTATCCTTGCGGCAGCTATAGACCTTCACGTCCTATTCCTCTTCTTCCACATCTATCGTCCCGATGTTGTTTTCAAAGCACTATGACAACCGCAAGGTCTATATTGACCTGAGGAACAAGCACACTGCAATCTGAGAAGAGGAGGTCGTAAGGGCGAGGAGGAGATAGCAGTACCCACTCGTCACTCAAGCTCAAGCTCATATCAGGGAGAGCTGGTACCCATGTGCCCTAGGACGTATTATCATGCACGCAAGAAGATACTTGTCCACAAGTTGAAGTCGGAATACGCTCAGATAGAGAAGAGAAGTAAATGAAGCTTTAGAAAGGAGAGAAAGGAGTATTGGGGGCCGCGAGGAAGGAGTGTAAGCAAGCGAAGCTACAGAAGATTGCAACATGGACCCCCCTAGGGGCGGTATAAAATTGCGCATACATACATACATAACATGATAACACCTAAATGCAAAGATCTCACTAAGTGGAGGGTGGTTGCTCTCCTACACATTCCGAGCCTACTAGAACAAGGAGTACAAGAGTGGCCTTGGCGTATTAGCATGCACTGCTATCAAAGTGTTTAACAGCAAACCACTTCAATCTTGTAGTGCCCATTGAAGGATAATCTACCGAGAGATGAGAAGCAGTTTCCTAATCGGAAGGGAAGTGCTATGGTTATTTTGAGGAGCTTACCCTGCCTTGCCATCAAGGAAGCAGTGGTTCAAGGCTCTGGATATTTTGGAAAAGAATGTCAGATAGTTAAGATAACGTTGAGGGCAATGATGGTTTAACGAGCATACGCATGCGTCCCGTTCGTGCGTTGTTTGCTTGGTTGTCTATTTGTTTGTTTGTTTGTGTGTGTGTTTGTGTGTGTGTGTGTGTGTGTGTGTGTGTGTGTG